GAGAAGAGCCCTCGGGACCAGGAAGGGAGGCAGGCGGGGCCCGGGGTCGGGGCCGGGCCACGGGGGCGGGGCCGACAGTGGCCCCGCCTCCTGACCGGCCCTGGTGACATTTCCATAACCGATTGGGTCTCGTCGGTGACAGTTCCCGTCGCCCAGGCAACTAGAGCCGGGCTCCCTCCGGGCTAGAGGGAGGCGCAGGCTCGGGTCAGGGGCCTCGAGATCGGGCTTGGGGTGAGTCTTGCGTGCCGCCGAAGCCTGGGCGGGGGTCTGGGGCTCCGCAGCACCAAGGTTCCGGAAGGAGATGGCGGTTCTGGGTGGACGGGCTGAGCTTGCCCGGCCGGACTCAGGGGACAGACTGGGGCCTGGGAGGCAGGGCGGACCCGGGATCCTAAGGTGGAAGAGGGAACAGGGGCGCCTGCTCCCCCGCCCCCACCAGCGACCGTTTCCCCAGCTGGGCCATAACTACCTACCTTCTCGCCCCTACAGCCCAGAGCATGTTCCAGATCCCAGAGTTTGAGCACAGTGAGCAGGAAGACTCCAGCCCTGCAGATAGGGGCCTGGGCCCCTGCCCCACAGGGGACCAGCCCCCAGGCCTCAACAAGCACTGGAGTACGGTCCCAGGTCTCCTGGGGGAAGCTGGTCACCAGCAGGGCCAGCCGGCCAGCAGCAGCCACCATGACGGTAGGCACCCCCCAACACACACACACAACCACCTGCCTGTCCACTTTGCTCCCAGCCCAGTAGCTCCCTGCACCTCAGCCTCATCCACACTCACTGGGTGGCTTTGGGTAAGTCCCCAACCTCTCTGGACCTCAGCTTTCCTCTTCTGTAAAACAGAGCAATGAATCCCCACCATTGTGGGCTGTTAGGGTGATTAGGAGAGTAATTATAGTGCTGGTGCTTGGGAAATACTCAAAGAATGTGGCGGTTAGGGTAGGACCACAGCAAATCACTGAGGGTCAGGCAGTGAACCAGAAAGGGGAAGTGACTTGCCTAAGGTCACACTTGTTTGCTGGTTCCCTTGGGGTAAAGCAGGGTTAAGCCTCCAGGTCTGTTCTTTCTCAACTTGTGGCTCACACCCACACCAGGGCTATCTTTGCTGGTTGCCAGAGGCTAGTAACCACTAGAGGTGGACAGTCCTCCCTGGCAGCTAGTCTGTGTGTGTGGGGGCGGGGGGGGAGGGGGGGGAGCATAGGCCCAATGGAAGGATGGGCACTGGAGGGCAGTGACCATTTCTGTCTCCACTTCCCAGGGCCTGGCACAGGCCTTGGCACCTCAGAAAAACCACAGAGATCTTTTGAAAACAAAAACTATCCCCCCCTCCCCCAGCCCTGGCTGCTGTGGCCCAGATGATCGGAGTGTTGTCTGGTGCACTAAAAGGTGGTGGGGGCCCTAGCCGGTTTGGCTCAGTGGATAGAGAGTCGGCCTGCAGACTGAAGGGTCCCGGGTTCGATTCCTGTCAAGGGCATGTGTTGGGGTTACCGGCTCGATCCCCAGTAGGGGGCGTGCAGGAGGAAGCCAATCAATGATTCTCTCTCATCATTGATGTTTCTATCTCTCTCCCTTCCTCTATGAAATCAATAAAAATATATATTTAAAAAATAGTAATAAAATAAAAGGTGGCGGGGTTCAATCCCTAGTCGTCTAGGGCACGTGCTGTCCAATCAATGTTTCTCACATTGATATTTCTCTCTCTTTCTTCCTCCCTTCTTCTCTCTAAAAAGTCAATATAAAAAACTTTAAAAAAGAAGAACAGGCCCCTTGCCTGCTGAAGCCTAAATGACCCTCCCCCCATTTCCAGGGGCAAGAAGGCTCCTCCGCAGCCCACGGGCACACGCTGTCAGACACACTCTAACGTCCAGATCTTTGCACTTGCTGTATTTCTGCTCCCAACAGCTTTCCACTCTCACCTGGCTGCTCCTCCTCTGTACTGGGTATTTAATCTGTGCCCTGTGCGGTCCCAGCTGCCAGGGGACACCAGTGAACAGAAGAGATAGCAGTCCCTGCCCTTGTGGTTCTTACATTCTAGTCAGTGGGGGAGACAAGCCATAAACAAACACACAAGTAAATGATAGAGTCTTTCCTTTCTCCAGATCAGGAGCACTGGGGGCCAGGGGAGTGATCTGAACTGAGGTGGCCGGGGTCTGCTTTGGGGAGAAGCACCCGTTTGAGCAAAGACTGGGAGGGATGAAGGCTTGAGCCCTGCGGCTACCAGTGGAGAGATCTGGAAGGGATGGGTTGGGCAAAAGGCCCTGAGGCCAGTGTGGCCTGAGGGGACGGAGTGAGGGCAGGGAGTTGGAGAGGCGGGAATTAAAGGAGAGGGAGAGGAGCTGAGCAGAGCCTTGAAGGCAGTGTAAGGGCTTTGACTTTTCCTTTGCGTGAGGACAGGGGAGGGCTTTGAGGAGAGCCAAGTGATCGGATTCAGGCATCCAGGGCATCACCAGGGCCTGTAGGAGGTGGTGGTGAGCCTGTGGCGGCTTGGGACAGAGTTATTGATGGTGACCCGGGGTTGGCAAACCAGTCACAGGCTAAATCCCTCTTTCTGTACAGATCATGAGCTAAGAATGGTTTTTATGTTTTTAAATAGTTTAGGTTCTGCCCGGGGGAAGGAGAGTGAGGACGGGTGAAGGAAGTCAAGGAAAGGAAAGGCCAGGAGGTGGGAAGGACCACGTCTGTTCTAGGAATGGAGTGGCAAAGGAGAGAGGGAGGGAGCTGGAGCACCCTCCTGCACAAGTAGGGGTGTGACCTGGGGCTGGGGGTGCCCGAGGCACGGAGAGGGGGGCTGGCACATCCTGAGAAACTAGATTTAGGGAGGAGGGCATGGGGACGGTCTGAAGCAGCAATAAGGAGCCACGGCGATGCCACGAGGAGGGCTGTGGGGAGAAAACAGACACCACCACACAGGACTTCTTACACTTTAAAAAAATGTATGTTTTTATTGATTTCAGAGAGAGGCAGGGAGAGGGAGAGAGAGAAACATGGATTGGCTGCCTCCTGCACGCCCCCTACTGGGGATCAAGCCTGCAACCTGGGCATGTGCCCTGATCAGGTATCAAACCATGACCTCCTGGTCCATAGGTTGATGCTCAACCACCAAGCCACACTGGTCGGCGGATTTCTTAAACCTTTTCAATGTCTAAAAAGCAAGTGATTTTTCCATAAAAGATCCCTAAGTGCCAGTGACCCAGCAGAGCCACTGCCTTCCTCCACATGGGCAGGGTCCCCTCACTCTTCATACTCCCTGCCTCTGGCCCCCGCTGGACTGTAAGTGTCCCCGGGACATGGACTGCAGCCACCCTACGTGTTGTGCCAGCCCAGCACGTAGCCCAGTGCCTGGGAGGGGCTGGTGCATGGTGAGCTGTGGGTGATGGATGGTGGAGAGGGAAGGACACCCAGTGGGAGAAAAAGCTCAGCACTAGGCACCAGGGCCAGGCTGCAGGGTTGAAACATGTCTTTACCCTTTATTAGCAGGTGGAGCTTGAACAGGTCAGTTAACTTACTCTGCCTCAGTTTCCTTATCTGTTAAATGGGGATAGAACCAGTCCCACCTCACTGGGTTGTAATGAGTTAATACAGGAAAAGTGTTTTGAAACAGTGCCTGGCACAGGGGAGTGTATGCTATTCTTACTATTACTGTGATCATCGTGATTGTTACTATGAGTTGGCCCAGGCTCTGAGCAGACCCGGGAGTTGCCATTCATTAAGCAGAGGAAGACATGAATAACCACTGCCCCCCTGGTGGCAAACAAGTGAAGTATTGGTTAGAACCAGAATGTAAGGGCTTAAAAGCCATTCCAGAGTTTGAACTTTATCTCATAAGCAATAGGGAGCCATTGAAGGTTTCAGACAGAGGACAGACATAGTTGGGTGTAGAGCAGGGGTTGGCAAACCATAGTCACAGGCTAAATCCCTCTTTTTGTACAGACCATGAGCTAAGAATGTTTTTTTTTAATTTTAAATAGTTGACAACAGGTCCAAGAACATTTCATAACAGGAAAATGATATGAAATTCGTTTCCATGTCCCTGCATAACACCCGAATATTTACTCTCTGACGTTACAGAAGACATTTGCCAGCCCCTGCTTTCTGCTTTCGTCAGCTCTGAGCAAGATGGGGGTATATGTTCTTTGCAGGCCAGTAAGGGGCTTTGGTCCCCAAATGGCTTTAGGGTACACAGGGAGTCCGGGCCTGAGCCTGCAGGTGCTAGAAGCTACACGGGCTGCGTGCTGCTCTGCCTGCTGGGGGCAGGCAGTGGGAGAGCCCTGCTGATGGCAAAGCTTCACTGCCTCACTGTCTGCAGGCTACTGTTTAAGTCTGCAAGGATGATGCTCGCCGAAGTCCCACCCACTTACCTGGAAGCCCAATGGGCGTAAAGAACTTAAAGCTTTGCTGGGGGGTGGGGTATCTCCAGCCATAGACTCCTCCCACTGCCCCACTCCAGCCCCAGGCTCACCCTGAGAGGGTGGTGTGAGTGGGCAGGTCTAGGCACCCACCCATGCTCCCACCCAGAGAAGCCACGCCCCCTCCCTCTTCCTGACCTTCCTGAAGTGGGGAGAGGCCACCTCTGCCTGCCCAGCAGTGTGCAGGGGTGACTGCTGACTGAGGTGGGATGGTTCAGATGGCATGTTCCCTCCCCACGGGTTCACAAAAATCTCCTAGGTTTTTTCTAGTAAATAGGACACTTTTAAAATTCCAGTTGACACAAATGTGTCACTTTGACAGTGGCGAGTTTGCACTGCTAAATCCACTGCTTTGGTGAAAACCCTCCACCCCAGAGGCTAGCCTCCAGCTGAAGCTGACATAAGCAGAAAGCCAGGGTGCATTCTCCAACCTGGGCCCCCAAGGGGGCGCCTGAGGCATGAGAATGAGGGGTACAGGCCCTGGAGGCAGACTCAGGTTTATTTATTTATTTTTTTTAAATTTTTAAAAAAATATATTTTATTGATTTTTTACAGAGAGGAGGGGAGGGGAGAGGGATAGAGAGTTAGAAACATCGATGAGAGAAACATCTGATCAGCTGCCTCCTGCACACTCCCTACTGGGGATGTGCCCGCAACTAAGGTACATGCCCTTGACCGGAATCGAACCTGGGACCCTTCAGTCCGCAGGCTGACGCTCTATCCACTGAGCCAAACCGGCTAGAGCCAGACTCAGGTTTAGATTTCTGCTCTGCTACCTACTGGCTGAGTGACCTCGGGCAAATTACTCTCTCTGTGCCTTAGTTTTCTCCACTGCCAAATGGGGACAGTGAGTAACCTCCCTGCGAGGGTGTGAGGACACGATGAATGAACGCAAGTGAAGCTCTTCAGTGACACACCAAGTGTCCTTCTGCTTGTGATTCCTGATGAGGGGGCAGTGCATCTGCAGATCACGCCCCTCCCTTCTCTCGGGCCCTGCACCTAAGTGTGGTGGCTGTTTGGGTTCTCAGAGCTGGTAAAGGAGAGGAATAGCTGACATTTCCTGAGCACTTACATGGCCAACTGTGTGACTTCAGACAAGTTCCTAACCTCTGGGTGCCGGAGTCTTCATCTGTAAAATAGGGAGAGCTAGGCATCCACCTCACTGGGAAGGTAGGAGGCTTCAGGCTATGAAAGCAGCAAATATGGTTGAGGTGCGACCTACCTAGCTACTGCCCCTGCCTCACCTCCCACCTCCCACAGAACTGGGAAGTGACCTGCAGATGGGCCTGACCCTGTCAGGGGTCTTCCTATTCCCGGCTCCTCTGGTCCCTATCCCCGCCCACTCCTGATTTAGCTGTCTGTTCCCCACTGCCACCTCCATCCTCAAGGGCTTTGTGGGGGCTCTTCCTGACCTCGGGCCTGGGCTTTGGTGAAGCCCTGAACAGCCAGGCGCTCTGACCACACCCTCTTGGCCTAAGCCTTTCTGGACCCAGCCCTCTGTTCCCTTGTTGGGTTTCTCAGCCATGTATCTGGGGCTGGGACCCTTGGAGGCCCTGCAGCCCCTGCAGCTGGCCGGAGGGCTCTGCTGAAGGTCTTCTGGAGGGAGAAGAAGACACTGTTACCCCCTGGCTTCAAAACCTTCCTTCAAAATGCCTTCCCTGACAGCCGGCCCTGCCACGCATGCCGAGCAGCTCTGGGCACCTGTTCCAGACCCACCTTCCACGCTATTACGTGGGTCTGGGTGTTTGCTCCTAGGAGTAGTTCTAGGTCTTTGTTGATGTGGATATGGGGTGGGGGTGGCAGAAGTGGGGGGATGGCACACAGTACACAAGTCAAACTCCCAACTCAGTAGAATAATGACCCGTCACGCACTTGCAGTTCACAAAGCACTTTCATGCTCTATTTTGTGACCTTTCCACAGTCACTGGGAATAAGGGCTGGGTTGATCCCCACACGGAGGCGAAGACAGGTTCAGAGAGTGAAGGTGGGTGGATAAGGAAAGAGGTGAAACTCAAAGGATAATCATTGGACTTTGGATTCCAACAAACCTCTAGGCACTTGCAGCCTCAGAGCTTCACAGCTGGGCGCGCCTGACCCTGTTAGCTTGTTTCCATCTGTAGAACACGGGCAGTTAGTACTCACTCCCCACATGGTTAAGAGGGTAACGAGGCCATGCCCAGGGCCCAGCACAGAGTAAGTGCTCCATAAATATTACCTAGAAAAGTCAACACGCTGGTCAGGACATTTTCTCCAGTGCAGGTGCTGTGGGAGGCACAAACATGGCCGCTGCCCCTGGTTCTCCAGGGTCTCCTGCAGGCCGTACCCCAGGAGTGAAGCAATGAGCACGGCTGGTGGCTTGCAGGGCTGGAGTTCAGCGCTGTGGCCGGGCCGGGAACCTCCTCATCCAGGGGACTGGCCTGCTCTGCTGCAGGATGGCGATGATTAAAGAGCTAGCAACCCACAGGCCTTGCACGGATAACTGTAACTTACCATTTCTTATGCCCTGATTTTGTGCCAGGCACAGCGGAAGGTCCTTTTATACACTGAGGGCTCAGTTACGATTTGTGGGGTTAATGAGAAGTTAATTCAGATCTTCACAAAAGCTCCAGGAGCTTCCCTCGATTTACATGCGGGAGCTGGAGCTGTTGTGCACACAAGTGCATCAGCGGCCAGAGGGGCAAAGGCTGGGGCGCAGAGGAGCTGCGGTTCACGCCGGCCGGCACTGTCGACCCTCTCTGCAGGCGCTGGGTCTGTGGAGCCGCGGAGTCGCCACAGCTCGTACCCCACGGGGACCGAGGAGGATGACGACACCGAGGAGGGGGAGCCCAGCCCCTTCCGCGGCCGCTCGCGTTCAGCGCCCCCAAACCTCTGGGCAGCACAGCGCTACGGCCGCGAGCTCCGGAGGATGAGCGACGAGTTCCAGGGCTCCTTTAAGGTGAGCGCGGCGCGACGAAGGGGAGGACCAGCGCCGGTGCATGCCGGGACCTGGACTTCCGGGCCCCCTCCCCTCGGGCTCCCGGAGCAGGCCGGGACCTGCAGTCTCAGGACCGGTCCCTTTTCGAGTCCCAGAGCATGCCGGGATTTGTAGTCCAGACCTCGCTCCAGAAGGCCGAGATCTGGAGCCCCAAATCCGTGGAACGCAAAGCCCATGGGCATCTGTGTTCCCAGCCGACCCCTTCCAGGTGTCCGGATTCTTTGCCTTTAATTTTGGACTTTCCTTTTTTTTTTTAAGTAAAGCAAGCAAGAATGTACCGATCATAGCAAAAACATACTTAGGAGAGTGAAACAAGGAAGGGCGTAGAAGCATAAACAGGAGAGCCCAGGCTGGGCTGCTTTAGCTCACTGGGGAATCAGAGAAAGGGGGTCTTGGAGACAGGTTCAGGGAGTTAGCCCCGGAGCTGCCGCTGCCCATTGCTCCCCTGGTTGCAAGTCCCGTGGGGTCCCTGAGTTTAGGGAATACGTGCCTGTGGGGGAACGGCACAGGCGTGCTCCGTGGAGGGAGAGCACCCCTCGGACCCCTTCTTTAATTCTCGGGCTGCGGTCCCATCTTCCCGGTGGTAGACCTCCGGCTCTCGCGCTAACACACGGGGTCCTCCGGTCCTCTCTCCCCGCCCCCGACACGGAGCGTCAGGATCTAACCGCCCGCCCCTAAGGGCCCAAACCAGTGATCTCTCCTGCTTAGGAAAGTGGTCAGGAGACCCCCTCGGTACGGGGCATGCTGGGGGCCGTGGTCTCTATCTTAGAGATGGGCTTCCGGAATGGCGGGCCCTGCTAACTCATCTAACCCTTCCGTCTTCCCACCGAAGGGTCTCCCTCGCCCGAAGAGCGCTGGCACAGCAACGCAGATGTGGCAAAAGTCCAGCTGGACGCGCTTTTTCCAGTCCTGGTGGGATCGGAACTCGGGGAGAGGAGGCTCCGCCCCCTCCCAGTGACCTTCTTTCCCACGCGGAAGCGCCCCTGCGCGCCGCCCGGCGGCCATCTTGGGTGTGGGCGGAAGTCGCCTCCGCAGAGGATCCGGTCTCCCCGTGTCGGAAGGAGGAGTCCTGACCGGAGCCGGGTTCCCTTCCGGTGTGTGCGGGGACTGCGGAGGCTCCCACTCAGCGGAAGTTTTGAAGTTCCTCCGCCCTCAGCCGCTGGAAGTGGGTTGCCCCCGGCGCCCGCGCCAAGTTGCTGGTGGGAACCCCCAGAACCCTCTCCTCGCGGTGACCCCGCGGCTGCCGCTCGCCACGGAATGTGCTAATAAAGCCCCCATCTACGCCGCGCGCTTCCTGTCGGTCGCTGGGGGCTTCGCGGCAGCGCAGCGCTGGCAGTTTCAGAGGCGCCGCCGTCTTGTGCATAAGGGGCACGTGGGCTCTGAGTGGCGGCGGGAGGGGTCGAGGCGGCGAGCGGAGCTGGGCCTCTTGGCCAGTCGAGCCCCAGGGACTTCCAGGCCCTTATCTCTAATCTGGTAATTGGGGACCGCAGGCCGGCCGGCCGCCGGAATTCCGTGCGCTGCAAACCGTGCCGCCGTCCCCCGGGGAGGGTCATTTGTTCCTATTTGGGTCAGTCCTTCAGGACAGCTACTGTGTGGCCGGCCCGGGGCCAGCGCTGCTAGGGGAGCTGGCTGGGCGCGCAGGACGGGGGAGGGGGTGGCGGAAGGCCGGCCAAGGGCTGTGAATAGAGTGATAAATAGGGAACCAGAGAAGCTGCAGGACCTGGGAGCAGAGCTCCGAGCTCGACTTCAGAAAGATTTATTGGCGCCCCCTACAGATGAGCCCGTGATTGGTGCTGGGTACACAGAGATGAATTAAGACAGCCGGTGAGTTAGAGCTGGGACTCGAAGGGAGAGCTGGGGGAGCGGGCTGTCATTCAGGGGAGAGGAAAGAGTGGACCCTGGAAGGAGAGGGGAGCAGCAGAGGCCAGGCTTCTGAGGGGCTCGTATGTCATACCCAGGAGTTTGGAGTTTAGCCTGGTCTTTGAAGACCAGGGGACTGGCGTGTAGTGTTTCTCTAGGAGGAGGCAAGCCAAGAAGGTAGGAGTTGGCTGCTGCGGGGCCTGGACACAGTGCGGTGGACAGATTTGGGGAAAGGACAAGGACTGACCCCAGAAGCAGGGCCCAGAGTGGAGGTCCCCTGCCCTGGGAGAGCCCCCACTCTGGAAGTCCAGCTTCTCCGGCCTCCCCACCCCATCTGTTTGCCTGAGGCTGCAGCAAAAACAAAGAAAGAAAATACTCAATTGGCAGGAGATAAGCCCAGATAAGAGGCTGCCTTCCTCTGGAGGAGGGAGGCAGGCAGCGGGGAAGCTCAGCCAGGAAGCTGGGAGAGGCCTTGAAGGAGTGCCAGCCTGCCCCTGCAGCAGAGCCCAGCCGCACCCTCGCCGCGCCGCGGGTCTCTGCCACTCCTCGCTGTCCCGAGGCAGGACGGAGGCAGGGAGCAGGTCCGCCCGGCCAGCTGTAGACCATCTGCCATGGAGGCTTCAGACCTGCCCTGCCTCCAGGTCAGGACACCTTGAGTTGGCCTGGCACACGGGACTTCTGTCTGGGCTTCAGTTTCCTCACCTGCAAAACAGGCATAACATCTCCCTCACAGGCAGGAGGGGGCGCTGGGTCTCCCAGCCCGTGTCTACGACCGCCAGCTTCCCTTCTCCCACGGGTCACTGCCAGGCCCACCCACTTCCCACCTATCGCTGCCCAGCCTCACCCCTAGTCCGCCTCCTGACACAGAGTCAACTGCCTCATGGAGCCCAGAGCAGCCTCAGCGGAAGATGCTGGGCCCTTGGGACATATTAGGCAAAAGGAAGGGGGCAGGGCCTGAGCCTCCATTAAGAGAGGACAAGAGCCCAGAAGGGAGAAAAATGAGGGTACAGGGGCAGGAAAGCCTGGGGGAGGCCACAGGGCCTCTGGTAGCAGGTTATTGGGAAGATCTGCAGGCTCCAGGCAAGCTGGTATCAAGGTTCAAACCCAGCCCTGCAGGTGTGGCTCTGTGGTTGAGCATCAACCTATGAACCAGGAGGTCAGGGTTCGATTCCCCGTCAGGGCACAGGCCCAGGTTGTGGGCTCCATCCCCAGTAGGGGGCATGCAGGAGGCAGCCGATCTGTGATTCTCATCATTGATGTTTCTATCTCTCCCTTCCTCTGAAATCAATAAAAACATTAATTAAAAAAGAAAAAAAAGAAGAAGGTTCAAACCCGCACCCCATCACTGGGGGCCTGACCTCAACCCCAGAGTGCCCACAAGCCCATTTTATATATGAGGAAACTGAGGCCCCAGAAGAAGGGGCAGAGAGGGCCTGCGACCCAGGGTCCTCTCTAGCACTGCCCCACCCCAAACCACGCTGCACACAGGGTCCCTGAAATCCACTTTTATTCACGTAAAAAAAAAGTCCCCAGAGAATAGAGAAAGAATGTGACCCCTACTGCCCAGCGCTCTGTCTCCGCATGGTGTTCCCCGGGGAAGTGAGGGCATAGCTCCCACTCTGGGGTGTGGGTGCCACAGGGGGCAAGGGCCCCGCTCAAGCTCTCTGGCCCAGAGTGACCCAGCACCTTCCTGAGGACTAAGGACAGGAAGGAGGGGCCGGGGACTCATGGGGCCCCGAGAGGGTGAAGGAAGGAAGTTAGTGCAGGGTGCTCGCCTCAGTTTAAAAAAATAAAATTTCTAAAGATAAAAAGTTAAAAGAAAAAAAGAGCATTAGTGTCTTGGCTTCCGGCCTCCTCCCAGCGCCCACCCTGGCCCGGTGGCCACCTCTTGCTCAGCCACTTCAGAGCTTCGTATTCTCCTCTTGGCTCTCCAATTCAGCACCGGACAGGTGCCCGCTGCTCCCAGGCGCGTGACCATTGCTGGCAGAGGCCACCAGATGTCCGTCCCCCAGCCCCTCCGACTTCTCGCCCAGCAGACACCGGCGGATCTCCTGGGGCAGCCTGGCCCGGTGCTCCTGACATTCCTGGGCCAGCTGGGCCAGCAGCTGTGGGAGGAGGAGGAGGATCACAGGACGGGCCACCTAGCACTCCGCCTGCCGCCCGAGTGCCCACCTCGCCCGAGCACTCACCTTGGGCTCCTCTTCCAGCAGCTGCTGTAGGACCTGCTGCTGCCCGGCCACCAGGCGTTCATGCCGCTGCTTCTGGGCCTCCTCCAGCTGTCAGGGGGGGGGGGCGCGCGGGGGGACAAGAGCTCAGCCACGGTCCTGAGGGAGGGGCCAGGCTCCTTGCGTGGCCAGGGGTCTGAGATACTAATCCTTGTGGCTAATGCTCCAGGCCCAGCCTCCAGAGCCATGGGGCTCGGTCAGAGACAGTTGGCTTTGATGGTGTGGGCTTGAGGGGCGGTGGGGTCCGGAGGGCAAGGCTTTGGGAACCCTCCAGGGCACCAGGCCAGCACCAAGGAGCGGGGTCTCTGATGACTGAAGGAAGAGGGAGGCACCTGAGCCTCACTCACCCGGCGGATGGAGTTGACGGACTCCGTGATGTGGCGGCGGTTGATCTCTGTCAGCTCCCTGCACAGGAGCAAGGCAGAGTGGGCCCACTGCCGGCACCCCGCCCGGCCTGCCCAGCGCCCACGTGGCTCCCGCCCCAAGGCCCTTACGCCTCCTTCTTATGTTTCTCCCTTGTCTTGGCCTCTGAGATACTGTTGTGGCGCTTCCTGTCCAGGATCTTCTGCAATTCCTTCTTCTCCCTGGAGGAGCGGTGGGGGAAGAGGAAGGGTCAGTGGCAGGACTGGGGGCTCTGCCCTTGTCCCGGCACCAGGGAGCCCCCCCGCCACCCCCCAGACAAGATCCTGTGCCTTCACCTGTCATTCATCTCCTTCAGCCTCTTGACCTGAGTGGTGTGAGCATCCAGGACAATCTCCCTGAGCCGCTGCAGAGCCTGTGGACACAGGTAACCAGCAGGTGAGACAGGCTAATGACAGGTCTGTCCAAGAAGCAGGCGCTCCCTGACTACACCCCCTCACCTGTCTCAGGTGCTCCAGCCTCCGCTCGGCCTCGGCGTCGGCCTGGGCCTCCCGCAGCTCCAGCAGGCTCTGCACCTGTCTCTTCTGGAACTCCTGGTACCGCCTCACCTCCTCCTCCTCCTCCTTCTTGTCCTCCCCGACTCTGTGGGAAGCACCCCCCAGTGATGCTCAGGGCATCACAGGAACTTGGGCTGGGAGGGCAGAGGGGGGGCAGGGCATTTCCCAGCTGGCAATGGTGGACACCGCCCCGGGGGCGGGGTTTATTATGCTAATGAGGGGCCAGTTCATTTCACTGGAATGATGGGAGCCTGTCTGGGCAACAGTTTCTCAAACACATGCTCCTCTTGTTGTCTTCCAATGAGGCATGGCTCCCAGGTGGGAAGAGGGTGGGACTGAGCAACGGAAGCCTCCTCTCTCTCTCCCTGGCACCAAACCCTCCTCCTTGGGGGTCAAGGAGAGTCCCCTGGTCACCCTGCCATCCTCCGTGCCCGCCTAGTGCAGGAGACACTCACACCCCTGCACACACATTCACGTCGATGCACGCAGCACACCGCACACAGGCGGACCGGACACTCACAGGACACCGGGCCGGGGCCGGCACCTGCTCTCGGCCCGGGCCTGGGCCAGGCTGTCCAGCAGTCGGCGGGTGAGAGCAAATGCCTTCCGCTGGTGCTTCTTGTGCAGCTCCCGCAGGTCGCGCTCCTGCCGACTCCGGAGCTTCACCAGAGCCTTGTGGCCTCGGAGCTCCTCCAGCGGGGCCACAGCCACCTCTGTGAGCAGCAGAGCAAAGGCGGGCTGGGCGGGGCCAGGCCAACCCTGCAGGGGCACCCACACCCCCAGGAGTGGTCCTGCCTCCTCCAGAAGCTCCCCCCCCAGAACAGGCCCCCCTCCTGGGATGGCCCCACCCCCACCAGCCAGGGCCCTACCTGACAGGATACTGGCAATGAGATCATCCCGCTGACCTGGGGAGCAGAGGCCGGACTGTGAAAAGCCGGGGGACAGTGGAGCCACTCCCCTCAGGCCACCCCAGGCCCAGGCCGCCCCTTACCTGGGCTGCTAAGGGAAGGGCTGGTGGGGGAGGTGGTGGGGCCGGGGGGCCGCCGGGGAGAGGTGTCCAGTGGGCTGGGTGTGGGGTTTGGGGTCAGCTGGGATCCCTGCTGCGGAGACTGGGTCTCCTGGCTGGTCTCCGGGCCAGCCTGAGCCTGTGGGGAGGAAGCAGGATGCTCTTTCCAGAACACTGTCCTCTCCAGGCCCCTCTGTCCCCTACAACCTCCAGGGGCTGCCCCGTGCCCCTGGTCCGCCTCCCTCTGCCCGCTGGCCCTGGGCTCCTCATCCGTAACA